TTCATAACTGATTTTTTTTAATATGACGAAATCTTGATTGTTTATCTTGATATAAACAGCTCTCCAATCAGAGTGAAACACATAATTTAAAGGATTCCAACACTATCCTTTTTTTAATGATGTGGAGTTTAAACACAGATAAAAAACAAAACTTAAAATGCAAAGAACCAGCGGGTTTTAACGCCTACAATAAATCCAAATTCTTATAGAACATGGTTTCATTAACTCAGTTCCCTCGATAACGCACAGTCACGCGATCCTACAGTTTTTCTGTTAAAATTAGTATGATCAGAATCGACTTCTACATTACCTGTTCTCCAGAACAATTCATTTGCATTTTTGTTGGTTATTTTTTTATCGCTGAATTAAATCTAGTGTTAATCATAAAAATGGTCTAAAGTTAAACATTAAAACCTGCAGAATCGTTAGACTTCTTGAAGCAGAAGACATGGAAAATGAGCAATGCCCTCACCGGATATCGAACCTGAACCTCTCAAATATGTGCCGAGTGTACATCCGTTATACCAAAGACATGCTGGAAGGAGGGAGAAAATACCTTAAATACTCCCCCTTTTAAAAGGCGACTAGGGATTGGGGGACCCAATCGCCAAACCCTGGTGGTGACGAATTATCGTCCACCGCCTTTTTTTAGTTCGTGAGCCACTGCACAAGGTGTCTGCCGATAACGTCGCGGAGAAAACAACGCAAGGCGAAAACGTCTTGCTACAAAACATCATGGGAGAAAACATCGCAAAGAGAAAACATCGTGGTACAAAACACCGTTGTCGAAAATAAAGCGGTTCAAAAACTTCGCAGTTTAAAATCGTCGTCGAAAATACCGAGTAAAAAATAAAGTGTATCTACAAATCATCGCATGACGATAACATCGCAGACATGCTTTTTTCAGGTTTTAATAATTATAAATGGATATTTCCATAACGATTTGGAAGCGCAAGATGTAAAGAAGGATAACTTTTACCTTCACACCTTTTTATTAACTAATAGATTTTTGCTGAAAAAGTAAGAAGGAAACCTAAGCATAGAAAATTAAATGCAACGTATAGATTATACTTCTCATGGAAAATTACCAGTAAAAACTTTATAAAAAATGATTTATTAATGGCATTTGTTAGTTAACTATGTCGGTTTAAAAATTCCATTAAGTGCTATTAGTTCCATTAATTTTCTATGCTTAAGTTTCCTTCTTATTTTCTCAGCAAAAAATTTATTGGTTAATAAAAAATATGAATAAAGCATGTCTGCGATGTTATTGTCATGCGATGATTTGTAGATACTTTATTTTTTACCGCGATATTTTCGACGACGATGTTTTTAAACTGCGAAGGTTTTGAACCGCTTTATTTTCGTCGACGATGTTTTGTACCACGATGTTTTAGAACTGCGATGTCTTCTCTTTTGCGATGTTTTCTCCCACGATGTTTTGTAGTACGACGTTTTCTTCTTGCGTTGTTTTCTCCGCGACGTTTTCGCCTTGCGTTGTTTTCTCCGCAACGTTTTCGTCCGCGATGCTTTCGGCTGTAACCACTGCACAATCATTAGGCTTTTTGAAGCAGGAGATATGGAAAATGAACAATGCCCTTGCCGGGACTTGAGTCTGGACCTTTCGAATACACACCGAGGGTGCTACGGTTACCCCAAGAAGGAATGTTGGAAGGAGGGAGAAAATATCTTATGAATTTTTTAATGTTATTTTAATGATTTAAACATTAACTAAGATTTATACTCTTAAATATACACGTATTTTATCATAAAATTTTAACTTACATTTTAATGCAAATTTGCAATCTATAACCGCTTTGCTTTGCTTTACCACCAAAAATATAGTCGTCACTTTGGATATGGTAACTACTGTACTCAAAAATAACAGCTAAAATTGCCTAAAAGCTAAATTTTATTTCTAACCGCTAAACAGTAAAAAAGCATGAAAAAATTTATTTGAATTTTAATTTGACCTTGATCTAAAAATGCATAGACAGTATATTTTTCAAAACCGCACACACACATAAAAAAAAAAAAAAAAAAAACTTAAATGATGACAGCTAACTTATAAATTAAAAATAGTAATAATTAAGGTCAAATAAATTAGATTTTTTTTTCACAAAGTTCTTTAAAATTTGATCATAGTATGTGGTAATTGCACAGACTATATAGACTTCTCTTTTCTTGTTGACATGCCAAATAAGTTAGAAACTAACAAGTTTGATAAATAGTTCGGTTATGCCTATTCTCGCGTGAAAATGTTTTCGTTTGGTAATTGCTGCCATTAATCAGAAACAGAAGTCTGAATCGCGCCGTTAAAACGACAGCAAAATTAGACCTCGCCGGTTATTCCTAACGAATTCTTATGTTGCTACCGGGTAACATACATTGTTATCCAATGATCGCCGTAAATATGCCTAAAATGGGATGTTAAGGGTGCCACACCTGTTTACGACGCCCGTTGCTAGGCGGCATCAAGACGGGTGAGAAGCAAAGAGAATTAAAATGTTAAATGCCACCGACACCACTCAGAGGTTTCGAATTTATGCCCTTATGTTTTCAAATGTTATAATGCCTGAGAAAAAATAAGCTGTGCAACGGTTTTATAGTGCAGTCATAGAGTTTGTAGTGTTCTGAAATAGAATAGAAACCTAAACGTAATGCTGTAATTTCAACCAAGGTCATTGAGAAAATACAGATCATTAGCCAGCGTTGACCACTGATAAGATTTAACGTCTAATTGCTTAGCTGCTGTTTATCCAAGAAATTATTCCTTAAAACTTCAGATCATTTAAGTAAACATATAAAATTGTTACAACATATTTAACTGCTAGCCCAAAATAGCGTTAACCCAGAAGGGCTATTAGTCTCAAAACGGGATTTTGCGTTGAAGCACTATAAAAGTCTGAATCACTTTTCAAATTGCTGAAACCAAATATTATCACGCTGTTTTACAGTTAAAGAAATTAAATAATGAAGAATTTGCATTAATGTATACATGTTTTCCCCATCGTGAAAAAAAACAACGGAGCCTAGAGCCATCAAATTTTGAAACGTCGTCCTCCACAAAAATATGAACACCTAAAAGCCTGAATTTTGAATTTGTTTTGCTGTGTTTCATATTGTTACGAATTTTGCATTTAGTTGGGTATTAAATTTTTTTTATTTTACCGTGCAATAATTAATCAATTTCCTATGCCGTTTCTCTTTTTTCTCGTCATTCGGATCTTTCGGGTTTTAAACTAGAACAGCATTAAACGTTTTAACTCTGTAAAATGTTAATGAGCTTTATTAACGTCTAGTAGAAGTACTGTGAGAAAGAAATGCTATTGTTTGGATCTGTGTTTCACTAGATATGAATCATACTATTAATTTTCTGTAGGGAATTTACTGTTTTACATTTGGTATTCATCTATGTTAACTTTTAAAATAATCCTTTTCCCTCCACACTTGCTTCGATTATCAGAGATGTATCTAGGTGAGAGCAAGGGGGACATCTGTCCCCAGGCGCAGCATCCAGGGGGCGCTTTAATGACCCAAATAATAGTAAACGGCCTATGACCATACTTAGTACCCATATTGTATAACTTATTTAATCTAATATGTACCTCTTAATATTGTGTTATAGATTTAAGGTTTAATTATTACTAGTGCACCAAGAAACTCACACTACTTTGCCTATATTTATACGAATGTTTTTTCTGCATCAGGCTATAGCCAGCTCATTCCTCCTTTCTCGGCCTTCCCATATAGCACTTATATAATTAAATCAATTATATAGATTCATCAGTCAGGTCTATTGAAACTTGACGCACACTTTAGTCCTTTTAGAAATTTATCTTTTAATTTATCTCTTATCTTATCTCTATTCTTATAATTTAAAAAAAAATGTTAAAACATGATTTAATATATATATATATATACTAGTTCTCATGACGTATTCGAAAACATATCTGTTCTACAAGGGGTAGGGTCCTTGACCCAGGCACCCTGGTGCTACACCGTTTCCCCAGTGCGTCATCCAGGGGGCGCCAAATTGATGTTAAGAAATTTTAGAATGAAACGTTTCCCGTTCTTGGCAAACAGGAGGGAGCGTGAAATCTTCAGTTGTCCCGGGCGCTGAAAATCCTATAGCTCTGTTGATCATAAAAGACTGTGGGAAAATGTAACAAATTTAAATTGTTATTCAAATATTCTTTTAGTCAAATTATATTGACGAAAGAAATCTCTAGATTCAGGAATTGTTTGTGTGTTTCATTTATGGAGTTTTATCGGTATTCTCTTAGTAAATACAGGTTTATTTTGAAAAAAAAAAAAAAAAAAAAAACCCACTTTCTTAAATTTATTTTCATTAAATGAATATTTTAGATTTCTTTAAAACTAAAAACTGTTACTATTAGGTAAAACTATATTTATTTTTATATAAATGATTTAAGATTAAAGAATTTTTAAGCTTGGAACTGAAATTCGAGATCATTATTTTCGTCTCGGTTTTTTCCTACTCATTTAAACCATGGGAATGTAAAAAAATGCTCATTTGAAATTCAGGTTACACTTCTAATATTCGATATTTGTCTTTGTACTCAAATCGAAAAAATAATACTATAAATCTGAAAAATTGAAATTAAACACACTTACGAAATTCAAATTTTCTTTTTCAAAAGGCTGTAAAGTAAGTGATGTTAGATTTTGCATGAGCATATTGTATCTAGGATATAAATTTTTTGGTAAATGATTTAGCTTTAAAGTGCTCGAGAAAATCTTAAAGGTAGGCTCAGAACATAAAACTATAACGTACATAATAATAATAATAATAATAATGTGTAACTGCAATACGCTACTATTATTAGTTAAAAAGAATGTATAGCGCTGTAAGCATCTTTTAGATACCTTTAAATTTATTCTGATAAAGAGAAATTGCCTTAAACACGTGATGATTTAATAACCACAATTAAATTATCATGACGACAAAAAAATTCAATAGCCCGTAACAAAAAGTATATAATAAATTCGTACCACTTACCGAATTTGGTCAATGGATGGACATAATTACGCTGAATAATGCTAATGAGATGACAGTGGAAAGGGCACTGGTGCAATACATTGACATGGCCTGTAAAATTCAATGAAAAAAATTAGAATATGCCCATACACATTTGGTAAATACAAAAGAATGCATTATTTTTTGGCCAGCTTTTTTGTGACAAAAACATAACTGATATATTTTGATGAAGAACTACATCGAAACATGAATATCAATAAACATCGAAGCTATGGATCCTATATATCTCAATAAATTCTATGATTATTCTATGAAAAGATGATATCAATAAACACCGAAGCTATAGGTCCTATGGATCTCAATAAATTCTAGAATTATTCTATGAAACAAGGATATCAACAAACATCATACGGATCTCAATAACTCTATTATTATCGTGTAACTTTTGTTATCCATTTGTTATCATCATATTATTGATGCATTTGTTAAGTTTTTGAAAGAAGAAACGAACAAAATTGCTTTTTGATATTTAGCTCAGAAGCTTTATGAAAAGATGATATAGTTAACTGTATAATTAAAAAGGCATTTATAATTAGTTTAAAATCTGTACACCTATATATCATTCACCACATTAGAATTTATGTTTCAAGAATTATCAGCAATAATTCTGTAAAATAGCAGCCTATTTCAAGATAAAACCTTATCATATTTGCTGATCGCTATTCAAAAATAAGATAAAATTTTTATCACTGTGTTATAGTTGCCGCTTCTCTGCTTTGGTATTTAATGGTTTATTTCTTTTAATTAAATACTCCAGCCTAGGGTGTGAAATACTTCTGTCCCTTAAAAAAATTCTTCTTCCCAATCTCTTTATAAACTCATAGTTTTTCTATGAACCCGACGTTAATTTAAGATTAAACTTTTCCAAATTTTAAACTCCAAGCTGCATGCTTCGCTTTTAGGTATTAGTAACAGCCTTGAAAAACGCATGTTAATCTAAAGAATGTGAAATTCTTTCCTTCTCTCGAATATATCTTATCAAGCTGTACTATGTGATATTTACTTTGTAAAGACATTAGGTTATTTCGAAGCAGGAGAGACGAAAAATGTGCAATGCCCTCGCCGGGACTCGAACCACGGACCTCTCGAATACACGCCGAGCGTGCTGACCTTTACACCCCGAAGGCATGCTAAGAAGGCGGGAGAAATACCTTATAGCTTCTCTGTTTAACTAAGGATAATATAAAAAATTACATAAATAAATTGCAATAAACTGTGTAATTAAATAAATATGAACTAAAAGTATATTAATTACACAAATAAATCATAAGTATTTTACCATTAAAACCCTTGATACGGTATATTATGCTTTACTGTGATTTTAACCCAACATTTTTATTCATTTGACTTATCACACAAATGGGATTAGTTCATTGCTTGACAATTCGGAAAATAGCAGTTTCAAAACAGCTAACAGAAATAAAATTGTTACGCAGGTTTTTCCTCATTGTCAAATGACACACAAGCAATTCGTTAAAATAAATTAGACACAATTCGTGCATGGAATAAAGTTCTTCTTAAACTGTATAAAAATATTTATATGCTTTATTAAAATGAGATTTTTAATCACTAAACATGCAAACAGAAATATACCGTGATAAAAGAGAAAAACGTGTTAGAATAGCATTTATTTTTTATTAATTAATCACAATGCAAACCCTTTTTGAATTTGTAATACACTTGGCAGACGCAACAGCTGCATGCAGGCAGAAAAATTAATGATACGAATAATTTAGCTCTTGTTTCGCAGTGATTACTAATGATGAAGCTTCAAATACATTTTTAATACATTTTTAGCTTCAAAAAGAGAGATTTCTTCTTTTACAAAAGCAATTTTGATGCTCAAGGATGTTGCTTTTAGTATTCCAAAAATATCTGAGAAGCAGTGCCCGCTAGGAAGGCCAGCAGAAGCGGAAGGTCAGGAAAAATAATGTATGCTCAAGGGATGCGTTAAAACTGTTCTTTTAGATATAATTTACTTATTTTTACAAAGATTTAATGCCTTGCACTGATATTATCCTCCAGCAAGCAACTCTAGGATATTCCTGCAGCAAATGTTTCAAAACTGTAAATAAATTTGTGTATGTCAAACAAAACCAAAAACATTAATAAAACTGAAACATTTTGTTATAAATTTTTAAAAAAATCTGATGTGGACATCACATGACTTCCTTGCAGGACCCATTAAATTATACACTATTTTTGCTGCATTTCATTTAAACTTATTTCCTCTAATTTCATTACAAATATATTTCTCAATGAATTAATTCGGTTCTCAATTCGCGGCAAGGCAAACCAAAGCATCTTCATTGAAACTTATAAAGTACAGAAAAGCGTAAAACATCAAATACAGTTAAAAAAAACAATTTTTGCAATTAAAATTAGAGTTTCTACGCAAAAACAAAGCAATTCGGCCAGCGCAAAAGAAGACAGATTTTTCTGTGCAACGAACTAAAAGTTTGTTTATTTTTGGTCCCACTCAGCAAAAAGACACTGAATTTGACGCACAAACTTATTTAATTTGCTATTCTACTAAGAGTTTCAAATGTAAACAAATGGCTACTTCGTTAGGCTTCGACCACTTAAACAACTTTTAAATTATTGATAATTCTTCAACTATTGCATGCAGATTAAATAAAGACATAAAAACCTTAATAGGAATATAAGAAAACATAATTCAGTCGCTTTTAAAGCAAAAAATGAACAATTTACCAACATATAACAATAAAAACACAGAGCTTACCGAGCCGGGACAAGGCTGAGTGTAAATATATACCCGCTCGGTGCAGCCGATTGGAAAAAAAAGGGGGAGGCACACAGTTACATGTTATAAGACTCCCGTAAACAAAATTTCAACGTTCTGAGGCTATTCGCTTTTAAGTTAATATATACATACGTACGTACGTACAGACGTCACAAAACTAAAATCTCTTCTGAATCCATTTTAAAATCCGTTTTTTTGGGGGGAAAAAAGAAGAATAATTTATTTTGTCCATACTTACGGATGTCACGCAAATATATCGTTCAAGAGGGATATTCTAGAGCAGTCAAAAGGTATATTTTCGTTGAAATATGATACCTGAAATTTTTGGCTTTTTACATCGCACTAGGAAACAAAAATTTTAGATAACAATCTAATACCTCAGACTAGATTTGACTATTAAATAAATAAAAAGAATACTTGCTAACTATTCTTTCTAACTAATAAAACTAAACTTTTATTGTTAAATAAAAGTTAAGCTTAATTAAAGCATATTCAGTTCCAGGCTCTGAGGATAGTTTTTTACATTTCTTCTTTGAAAGCAAACTAGTATGGTTAGGAAAATAACAGAACAATAAAAAGTACATTGTGTACTTTATTAAATACAAAAGTACAATATTAATACAAAAATTTTAAATTTTGTCCGATCATTGCTCATTCCATCATTGCTATTAAAATTTATTTTTGATTCAGTCCGCAAGTATGTAAATTTTGTTAATAATTCATGCTTGGATTCGAATAACAGAAGCTGAGACATTATTTTTACAAAATTGAAATAAGAAAGATCACTCTGTGCAATTGATTTAAAAAAATATTAAAAAATTAATAAAATTAATTTAAGATCATATAACATTTTTACTTGGAGTAAATTTAATTCAACTTGATTTAAATTTATGACAGTTATGTGTGGTAAAACAATTATTAACACACACAAGTATATGTAATTTACATCCTAATTATAAATTAGACCATCGCTTAGCGATAAGAGGGTCTTTGTAGTCTGAAAGAAACGTCACGATGAAATCTCGACCTTTTAAGTACCTCCTCCTTTCTTAGAATTCCTCATACTAGAAGAAAATGCTTTTTATTCCTTTTTGTTTGTGTTACAGTCGCTGTTTGCCCGAATCAATGTTTTCAAAGATTTCCCAGCAGGTTTTTGTTTTTAAATAAATTTATTTATTTATTTTAAGGAGGTTTCATATAGTATTCCTCAGTTTCCCCAAAAGCACTTGGACTCAAGCAATTTGAGAAGATTAAGCATGAATTTCTAATCAATGAAATTCACGAGTCCTGCAGTATGTTTGAACACCGCTTTCTAAATTACAATCTCTTCCTAATAACTATTCATTTACTAAAATAATGGGATCATATTCTGTTTTAGTGTCAGAATTCTCAATCTCTACGAAGAAAAAAGGTTTTGTTTATTCAGTAATCCAAAATATATTTATTAGTCCAGAGAGGCTTTATACCTGAAAGACTATTGTTTTCGTTTGGCGATTTTGCGTCGATTCACTACAAACGTCGAATCACTTTTCAAACTGTTGCCACAAAGTATTATCGCTCTGTGTTATAGTTAAAGAAGTTAAAAAATGAAATATCTATGCATAAATGTATGTATATTTTCTCGCATTGTGATAAAACAACGGTACATAGAGCCATCGAATTTTGAATGACGTAATCCTCCTACGAATATGGGCATGTGGAAGACCAAATTTGAAATTTGGAATTTGTTTTATTATCCATTTCCTATTTTGTAAAACTTTAGCGAATTTTTTTTAACAAACTCAACGATTTCAAAGCGAGCAATGGCAACACTGTAGCCTTAAAAAAAAATTTATCTACAGCGCATGAAACTGTGTATCGGAGATATGCTCATTTTAAAATTATTTTGCGATTGCTAGATATTAAACTGATTTTTATGGTGGTATGTGCGAAGAACATGATATGTAATAGATAAATCTAACACTCAAAATGTTAAAAAAAAACGCCCCTTTGGACGTAATTTAAAATCTGAAACATTTCAGATTTTCCTTTTTTTTTTCCTTCGAATTTTTATTGTTATATTATTAGTTTCTTTCTTTATTTATTTTCGCAAGACAAATCTCATATAATTGTGAATGTATGAAGAATGAAGTTTTTGTTACGAGTCCAATGATCTGTTTATGACTTCATTCGGTTGGAAGAGCATTCGAATGTAAAATGCATTCAAAGAATTTTTTATCTTTTCTAAAAACATTAAACTAAAGTAAATATCTGATGTTCGATTGAAAAAGAATTACTTTCACTCTTG